GCTCTGCTCGCGCGCCTTGCCCGTCCCGGGCGGCGCCTGGCTGCCGGCGGACGTCTTCGCGTCCCCCTCCCCAGCCGCGAGGGCCCTGGCCTTTCTCAGACAGGCACCCGCCTCCGCCAGCCTCTCGTTCCTGTCGCCGAGACTCGCGGGCCCCCACGCGCCTGGGACTTCGCCCTGCCTGCAGACCGCGGGCCTGCCGTCTCTGCGGCCCGGGCCCAAGGCCCTCAGGGGAAGCCCGGAGCCGTCGAGCGCCTGAGCCCTGTGTCTGCCTTGCTTTTTCCCGCGTTCATACCTCTGACAAAGCTTGCTCGATGAGAATTAATTAGCTAATAGCCGCTGTAAAGGTGAACGACAGTTGACAGTAAAACAGAGCAGCTGTGACCGTGTGCTATAATAAAAGTTACATGAATGTGGTCCCTCTCCCAGACATCTTACTGTACTGCAGATCTTAGCACTCTTGCCATCTGATCTTTTTCTTGCCTGAGTAAATTGAAAGCTTTCACCGTTTCACTTAAAGGGTACACTTTCCGACTTCGCTTTGGCTCCTCCGAATTGCCAAGAATCGCGCTACTGCCCTTTGGAGCCACTGTTCAGCAAAATGAAAGTCTCTTGAACACAGGCACTGTGATACGGTGACCGCTGGTCCGACAGCGGGCTGCTAAGTAGCTGTGAGGCTCCTGTCCTGGCGGAATGGCACAGGATCTTAATCGTGCTGCTCAGAATAGCATGCGATTTAAAACTCACGAATTGTTTGTTTCTGGAATTTTCCCTCTAATATCTTCAGGCCGAGGTTGACCGGGTGTAACTGGAGCTATGTAAAGGGAAACCGGGGAGACACTGGGGAAGGGGGCGGTACTGTAACAAGTTCGTCTGTTCCTGTTTCTCGGGTGCTGACAGGAGGCTTTATTACTAATGGCGCCACAGGCCCGGTGGAGGGGATGTCAGTGAGCCTAGTGGGATGCTGAGACGGAGGCGGTGCGTTTGTGACTCGCTCAGGAACACCGAGCTTTGGGATGTATCCCCTCCATCACGAGGGGGGACCAAGCTTTCTCTCTGACTGTGAGGAAAGGTTGCCGCATCTCTCAAGGTGGCTCACCGCAAACACGACTCTGGGAAGTGACCCACATCAAGAGCAGTCAGGGCCTGTGTGCTTGGCCTGTCCAGCAAGAACGCGCAGGAATACTCAGGGTCGATGGTGGAGTCATTCGCCCATCATGTGTGCTGCTTAAGATGATTAGCTTTTCCTTGTTGATCACGATGTGCTTTATTATTTGTCGTTTAATGACAAGGAAGGATGATCAGGAGAGCACAGGCCAACATAGTTGAGTCGTCTTTTAACCCTAGAGTACTTGAGTTCTGACCAAACTGAGACATTCTCACCTGCAGCCGTTTTGGAAGATGGATTGCTTCTTGAATGTTTCCTATTTAAAGGAATGAAACTTCAGGCATCATTCTTAGGGTTTATCCCTCCCCCCTTTTTAGAGTACAGTATATTCGATATTATATGGAATAGAATGTATTTATTATGAAGCATAATAAAATGAGCAGCAATGAACCCACCATTAAACTTAAACATTATGTTACCACAGTATCCCTGAAGCTTCCTGTGAGTTTCTCCTTACATGTTGAGTGAACCCAAATAGCTAGTGTCCCAGAAGTCGCTAGGACTGAGAAGGAACCTGCAAATGGAATGGAATGGGCCACTGGGATGTAAGATGACATGGCTGTGTAAGATCTTCCAGATGAAGTTTTAAAAATCCTGATTGAAATACCGTGTTTAAATAATATCTTTAGCCTCTGATGTAGTCTTTTGGCTGTTTTCCCATTTGATGGCAACTCAATGAAAAGGGTACATAGAATACATAAAACTTTTATTTTTTAAAAGTCTGGTAACTAGATTCCTTATCCCAGTGGAGTTTTTTCAGTTCCACATATTTTTGTGTGTGTGTGTGAGAGAGAGAGAAATCACAGCTCCTATTTCCTTATTATTATTATTATTATTATTATT